CTGATTCTTATCAGCAGAAAACTACTATTATAACTAAACCCAATCAGATCATCCTAATTTTGTGATAATGAACAGAGAATATAGTGGTGGAAAAGCACACCTCATTAAGTCGTTTTTACAGCAAGAATACAACAATGGTTAACCAGACATAGCATACCTTCCAGACGTGTGTGTCAACATGAATAACCTGATTCTTATCAAGAGAGAACAGACAAATGCAGGCTGCAACTTTTGGACCAACGCCTGGCAAGGTACAAAGACCCTCGATTACCTCCGGTAGTTCCCTGTCAGGCAAGCCATTTTGTGCCTCCACCAGCCTTGGCCATCGATTCTTTAGCAGTGCCAACAACATACTTTGCCCTGCTCATTCAAAGGCACACAAAACATTTCCTCAAATCAGTTTAGCACAAAATATCTAGTAATGTTGCATAAACAACAGATACTCATTACTGAGATATGCTTCAGACATCTATACCGTCATCTGCTAGGGGGTAGATGCAAGGCATGTAGATTCTACTTCCCTCAATGACATCTATAAGGTCATCTGCTGTTGCATCAATCATAGGGAGACGTCAGCATTACAAATCCTGTACTCACTACAGATTGCTTTTACTGTGTTAAGGCTAGTTTGATAAATCTGATTTTACTGAAAGTAGAAATCAAAACAAGCCTCGACAGATTTATAATCTATTATGAATCTGCATTCATTAACCCTACAAAAGCAAGTATATTACACTTTTCAGTGGTCAAGCTTCACCCAGAAATTCAATAGATGTGTTACAGTGTTAAAAATTAATGTTTCTCATTCCATCCTAATGTGCTAGTTATATTCTACTATGGATACATGAGAATATGGATTTGTTTCCTACAAATACATTAGAAGTGACCTTCGGTGGCGTGTAGTATTAAGAAGTTAGAATTAAACTTAATACGCATACCTCAGAATGACTCCAACTGCTGCAATGTGTCACTATCAAGACAAAGCATTGAGGGTAACCCTTTGCTTTGCGCAGTCAATTCCAAGCGCTCATCTGCCTCGCCATCTATTTCTCTTTTCTGAGTTCCTCCTTTTGTCTTTGTTTCTCTGCCTGCAAATATGTAGAAATATCTTAATGCTAAACAGATTTAGTGCTACATATACTACAGTACCATATCTGGGTTACAGTTTATTTCAAAGGAACTAAAAATACTAACTCGTCTAGATTGCTCCCTTTGGAATCTCTCTTCCTCTATTTGCCGTGGACACACCCGACAGCTCCAACTCATCTGTGCAAACAAAATCATGCCATCAGTCAATCCAGCACTCGAGTAAACAATACCTTGCAAGGGGAAGTCACGGAAGGTGATTACGGTCATGCCGTTGACAAACTCGCGGAGGTCCTCGCTAATGCCGTAGCACTCGGGCTCGCCCGCAGAGAGAGTGATAGCCTATGTCCGCTCAACGTCCTCGTCCTCCTTTTGCCGAGCGCGAGGACGATGAGAGGCGGCTAGAGAGGGCGTGCAGCAGCGACGGACTTGGGGCCGACTTCTTCTTCCCCGACGTGGTTCCCTTCGTGCGGGCGCTTGGTGACCGTGGCCTTCTTGTCAGCCTCGGGCGCGGCCTTGGCGGTAGCCACGCGCTTGGCCGAGGAGCCCCGCGGTCGGCCTCGGGCGCGGCCTTGGCGGAGGTTGTGCGCTTGCGCGAGGAGACCCGCGACGGCGCGACGGCGGACGGGGAGGATGGGGGCGGCGGCGGCGGACGGGGAGGATGGGGGCAGCGGACGGGCGAGGGGGGCTACAGGGGACGGGGATTCGATCGGACGGACGAGGTTCTCCCACAGCTCGATCCGACGGCCGGAACTCCATCAAGCAAATCGATCGGACGGTCACCATGCGCTAATCGCTGAGAACGCCCATGTTTCGATCGGATTCGTCTTTCTGGATATAGAAACTTGAGAAAAATTCACTGGAGGTCCTCGTACTCGTCGTGTTGGCCAATTTAATCCCCGTACTTACAAATACCTAAAATACAGTCACTAAACTTGTCTCAGGTGGTCATATACGGTCCATTATACGATTTCTTGTACGTACACGCTGATTTGGCAGTTGACTGGCTTGTCCACGCATGCGTTGACCGCCAAGTCATCAGCACCTGGTCTTGATCGATTGATTCGGGGGAATGCAGGGATGTTTTTACAAAACCGCCGTATTTAACGTTTCTCCCCCGTCTGGTCGGACCGCACCTGGTCGGCCGCCCCCGCTCCTCCCTGCATCCAAGATCTGAATCGCCGTATTTTACGTTTCTCCCCCCGCCTGGTCGGACCGCACCTGGTCGGCAGCTTATTTTGAGTCAGGTCGTGGCTGTGGTCGTCGCAGGTACTCGATCGGGAGTGTGTCAACATGCATGCATGCTTGCTCCGGCAGCACGCGCTGCACGGCTACGTCTCTAACGCGGACGTGGTCGTCTGCTCACTACGCACTTGCTCGTCGCCGGCGTTGAGAATTCAAACCTGCAGTGAGGTTGGGTGGCGCCCGGGATTCGATAGTACTACATGCATGGGTCGTACGTACACAACCAATTGGATGGACGGATGCATGCATGGGTTGATCGATCGTAGTGACGTACTGTACGATGCAGCGCTCACTACCGCGTGGCTCCGACGGGCGGTCGACGCTGCGTGGCGTGGTTGGGTCGCTCGATCGACATGCGCGCGCATGCATGCACGCATGCATGATGCTTTTCCTTGAAGTGCAGTGCAGAGGAGGTGATGGAGGTTGTACGTACTGCCAGGGGTGAACGAAAGCCAGGCGGTGAGGTCCACGACGAACGCCGCGGCGAGATGGCAGCGCAGGTCAGCGGCGGAAGGAGGGGAGAGGAATAGGATCGCGTGCCGGATGCGAGGAAGACGGCGTCCGGCCGGCTCGTGTTTGACGGTGGGCTACGTACTCGCCGGCCCAGGTCGCGGCAGGGACGACGGCCGCTACTAGGCGACTCGCACTCCCGTACGTCGCTGCAAGATGGGGTGTGCCGTCTGACGGCGGCGACCCAAGTCCAAGTGATGACGACCATGCATGCATCTTCAAGGTAAGGTGCGACAAGTTGGAGATGATGAGCAGGACGAGGGAAATTAATTAGCGAGGAGGGGTGGAGGTCGAAGACGAGCGTATATAGGTGACGTACGTACGGTGCCAGCCCGAGTTTGGGAAGAAGGCTAGCTAGCTGCTAGTTCCTCTCGATCGATTGAGAAGAAGGAAAAAGGTGAGCTTTTTTGATGGAGGGAGGTGGTCGACGCGCGGCGTTGTGGCAAGGAAGACGGCAGACGGCAGCGAGCGAACGTTGTATGCACGCGCGGGAGGCGGTACGTTGATCTGGACAGTGAGTCATTTCCTGAAGCTGAAGCTAACTAGGGCCAGGGCAGCTTTGAGTCAGGTCGTCGTCGTGGCGGACCTGCCGCCACAGTGTACGTGATCTGTTTTGTCAATACGGTTCGGGTGTGGTCTTTTGGCAACGGAACGGAGATGCCATGTCGGCCGTGCCGCCAAAGAAGGTGGCGGCAGCTCCTTTTACTGCGCTAGCTAGCCGCTCGTTGGTTGTTAATTACCAGGAAAGGAAAGTAGCGCTAGTTAGCCGCTCGTTGAATGCATGCAGCTCTGCTCATTTTGTTGATTGGCAAGAGTGCATTGAACGTGGGCCGAGACTGCATGGTGGAGCAGGGAAAGTGTTAGGTTGTTAGCTTAATTGCGAGATTTTTCAGCACCGAGTGATTAGTTTAATTCTTGCCGATGAATTTGGAGCTGCCGCCACCCTCTATGGCGGCAGGGCCCACCTGGCCTTTTCCATTCTGTTGTGAGTCGACGCAGGGACGTAAAATCTGTTACATAGAAGAGCTGCCGCCGGAGGCTGTGGCATCAGGTCTAGCCGCCGGCTGCGGTGGCAGCAGGTGCCACGTGTCGGCTGCCGGACCTGCCGCCACAATGTACGTGGTCTTTTTTGTCAATATGATTTGGATGTGGTCTTTTCTGTCAATACAAAAGCGTAGGTGGTCTTATATGACAAAAATTCATCGATCGATCGGTCGAATTAATTGGGAGGAAGGGAGAGGAAGAGAGAGAAGGGCGGGTGGGTCCCAGTCCCCAACAAAGAAAAGGAATCTCGACGTATATCTTGTTTTATTTTGGAATGGAAGAAAAAAAAGAAAAAAAATGGATTTGTTGCTTGGAATGAAAAGTCAACTGCGTTTGGTTTCTTTTCTTAGAAAAAAGAGGAAAAGGAAGGGCGACACGCGTGCACACGTACGTATACGCGTTTCCTTGTTTTTGTTTGTTTCCCGATTCAGATCTTGGAGCGAATCAACCTGTGGTTGAGTCGGTTAGGTGGACAGTGGTATCCTCAACCCATCAGGGTTCAAATCCTGATGCTCGCATTATTCCTGGATTTATTTCAGAATTTTCAGCGATGCGCTTTCAGTGGGAGGAGACGTTCCCGTCGACGACGAGGCGCCTACGGTGACTTCGTAAATCTCAAGATGATATGCCGGCTCAGTCTCTCGAAGGTGCTCATAGGGGTAGGGTGTGCGTGTGTGCGTTCATAGGGATGAGTGTATGCGCGTGTATATGAGTGCTTGTGTCTGTACTGATGCTCAAAAAAAATTCAGATCTTGGATGCAGCGAGGAGCGGGGGCGGCCGACCAGGCGGGGGGAGAAACGTTAAATACAGCGATTTTGCAAAACACCCCCCGCATTCCTCCGAATTGATCAATTAAGACCGGGTGCTGATGAGTTGGCAATCAACGCACGCGTGGACAAGCCCGTCAACTGCCAAATCAGCACGTACGTACAAGAGATTGTACAATGGACCGTATATGACCATCTGAGACAAATTTAATGACTGTATTTTGAGTATTTATAAGTACGAGGGTTAAATAGGCCAACGCGACGAGTACGAGGACCTCCAGTGAATTTTTCTCTAGAAACAAACTTAACGTGAGCAGTTGGAGATCCCATCGTCGCACGGATAGAGCATGGCTTCGTCTTGTGATTCTTCTCCAACAATGATCATCATCCGCCGACGCCAGGTGGTGTCGCCGGAAGGTGAGTCGACTCACCGTGATGTATTCTTTGCGTATGCTCGTTCTTTTCTCCGCTCGTAATGTTCTCTTCGCGTCGTGCAAACTCCCAGACTTGTACGCCCGCCAGATGCTCGACAGAACGCTTCAGTGGAGAAAGGGCGAAAAAAACCAGTGGACACCGAGCGGCCCTGATGGCCTCAGCGCCCTCCCGGACGACGCCATCCGCCACGTGATCGGCTTCCTGCCGGCGCGAGACGCCGTGCAGACGAGCGCGCTCGCCCTGGGCTGGCGCGACCATTGGACGTCCATGCACAGCCTCCTCTTTACACCGGTTGCCGGGTCGGTGACCGTCGCTGGGCTGAAGAGGCTAGTAGGCCGCCTGTTGCTCGATCTACGAGCGCCTCTTGATGAATGTGTTATCGATGTCAAAGGATTCTGGCAACTCCACAGCGAATTCAACAGCCTGATTCGGCATGCCGTGTCCGAGTGCCAGGTTCGAACTCTCACAGTCAGTCTGGTAGACACGCACAGAACAATATATGGGCAGCCTCTCGTTTCCACGCACTTGGCAAGATTGGAGCTTCGCCATGTAACAATGCCAGCAGAATGTACGGTTCTTGATTTTTCAAGCTGCACGGCGCTGGAGGATCTTGTGATTTCTTGCTCTCAGATCTATGCTAACAAGCTCTCGTCCCCATCCTTGAAGCGTCTCAAGATTGAGGAATGCTGGTTGTTTCCAAAGGGCTCCCCAACTTGTATTTCTGCCCCCAATATTGTTTCACTGAAACTGGATGATATCCGTATTACAACTCCTCGCCTTGAGCGCATGCCATTGCTAGAAACTGCAAGTGTCAGGCTTGGCGGCAGCTGGCCTTTGAACTGTAAACATCGTGTTGCCCGGCGCTGTTGCGGTGTATGCGAGGGTTGCATAGAATTCCACTTAATGGAGCTCCGAAGTTTCTCGAGTGCTACGCATCTGGAGTTAACAGCTCCCAATGTGAAGGTACACGGACCATCTCAAGTCTTATTTTCCCTTCATTATTTCTCTTTGCTGGATCTCTACCCCTGTAAACAAACAACAGGAAATCACCCTTGGATCATTTGGTAGATACTCACCCTCAAATCCACAAATTTTCTAATTTTTTAGCCAAGCGGTTCTAGAAGGCCCATAATTTTCTAAAGGAAACCACATAACATAACTGACTAGTGCCGACCAGCATACGTAGCTAGCAAATCCACTACCTATGTTCTTGTTTTTACGAGGAATCCTATCTATTTCACTTTGATAGATGTAATATGAACAATAATTAAGTTCACTAACCGATGATGCAATTAATGAAGAATCAACGTTAGCTTGATTAACATGTGATAATTTTGATTAACGTCTTAGAGATAGTTTCCTTTTTTGAACTCTGACTAGTACCCACCTTGCATTCTTTACTAACATGTGATAATTTTGATTAACTGAATTTACTCTGTACTTGATACAGTTTACTGTTTTGAGATGCCCAACATTTAGCAAGTTAAAGAGTCTGTCGCTAAATGACTGGTGTGTGACAGATGACTTATCTGCATTAATTCGCATTCTTGAGCACTCTCCAGTTCTAGAGAAGCTCACTCTTCAACTAAATGAGGTATATAACTGCTGAATAGATTTTTCGTGCAGTTAAAGTCTTCTGCCTAATTGATGCATATTTTCTTGACTGTAGGGATCACAGGAAAGTTACAATGCAGTGGAGCAACTGCGCACAATATCTCGATGCCTTAAAGTAGTTGAAATCAAATGTATGATGGTTGATAACAGACGAAATTTTGAAGATATTCAGTCCGTTTGAAATAAAAATTAATATCGCGGAAACTAGCAGACAAAGCAAAAGCATGGTTATATACACATCCCGCAGGTACCTCAGACACTTGGCAAAAACTATGTGGCGCATTCTTAGCTCATTTTTATCCAAAAAATAAGTATTATGTAGCAAGGCGCGATATTAATAGTTTCAGTCAAAAACCAGGTGAAAACCATATTAAATCATATCTAAGTTACCACACTTTACATGATGATTGTCCTCGTCATAATTTTCCGCCCTGGCTGGTGCTACAGCTCTTTTTATGGAGAAGTAAATGATCACTGCAAATCAAAAGTAGACTTTGCTTCTGAATGCTCTTTTATACTCCCTTCGTAAAGAAATATAAGGACGTTTAGATCACTACTAGTAGTGATCTAAATACTCTTATATTGCTTTACAGAGGGAGTAGATTGTAATGCTACCCAAGCTTGGGAGTTATTAGACAGTATTTGTACTAATCATGAAACTTGGGAGTTGATAAAGGTGGCGATGGAGGAGTAGAGTTGGATTATGATTATATCAAAACATACTCCTACTCCGGTAGATTGGGCATATTGAGTAAAAACTTCCACATTAACCTCACTACCCAACCCATGGGCCTCCAAGACGAATGATTACAGCAAGCCTACCCGAAGATCGCCGAGGACTCTTCAACCGCCTTAGCCGACTAGGATTTTGTAAACCTAGCCCCTGATGTCCTTTATAAGCCGAGGCTGGGCTAGTCGATAAGCACTTTACAACATCACATCTCATGGTATTTACCCCGTTGATATACCTACGAACACCATTGTACTATGTACAACCAGTGGCGGAGCCACCGCCCAGCGACCCTGGGCACTTGCCCAGGCTCGCTGGTCCTGGACAGCACGACTAAATGGTACGGTAGCTTGCTGTGATAAGCACTTTACATTTATGTTTTCACTTCATTATTAATATGGTTTTGTGGTTCAGAAGTTCGGTGTTACCTTATATGATGTGTATCCGAATACTGGAATTTTGATTTTTTTTTAGATTAAAAACTTAGTCTCACCTTGCCCAGGCTCCACAAAAGTTCTGGCTCCACCACTGTGTACAACCCCATCATCAATAAACACGACCAGGAAGTACAATTTTATCTCCACCATGAGGAATTGAACCTGGGTAAATCCATCTTCCCTGTTTCCCCTCTTAACCATCCAGCTAGACGTGGTACCCTAGCAAGGGATCTGCCGGAATCTACATCGACATTTTCTTTTGGGACTACGTGCTAGTTACTTTTCCAAAGTAACAGCCAGATCTCCGCTCTCTTGAGAAATAGAACCCCATACCTTGTGTCTTGTGCACGTGTTGAGGAGACTTAGACACATATTTGATAGTAGAACATTATGAGTTTGAAGGCGAAGTTGCTCTTTTTCTTGAACTTCTTGCTTTGTGCTCTATCTCTTTCCTTCAGGCATATTTTTGTGGGAGAGACAGCTCGTATGAGTTCTTGAGAGTTGATTATGAAGATTGTTTTGGGAGTTCATCCAAGTTTGCATGTTACTCATATCTTTTGCTCATCACCATTGGAGTGAGTGCGCATCCGCAATGGTTAGGAATCACTTGAGAGCCTTGTGTGAAACAATCAAGAGTTGTACAAGGCCTAATGATCGCCTTCTTTGTGCAATATCAACCCGAGTGAGAGTTTGACCTTGGTGGTATCAAGCCATGGTTGTATAGGTGGGCATCGCTTTGACAGTTCATTATGGTTGACGCTACTGATTCCTTTGTGGTCATAAGACTTTGTTTTCGAACTTCCACCAATGAGTAATAGTATAGTGCCAACTGTTCGAACCTCGGGAAAACATCATCGCGTCAACCATGTTTGCAATCTCTTTTTCCCTTGCTCTTACTTTCTTGCAAGTTTGGCTTCCACATTCCATCGTTGTTCTAGAGTTGCGTGTTTAACCGTTCTTAAGGTTTCTACTAGAAAAGACTAATTTTGCGAACTAAAATATTTTGGAGTAGAATTTTCGGTTAGGACCCCCTCCCCCCCCCCAATCCTCTAGTCCATAGCATATGGTCCTTCACCCCACACCCCATAAATGATGTTTGAAGGAAGGGGGGCTATGGTTAGAGCCGTTGTAACCATTCATATCACCTTGCCTACCCTTTTGTGTCGTAACTTTTGCCCTGCTCGTGACCCTCTCGCGTCGCTTCCCCCGCGGGCGGCTCGGGAGGGCTCAGCCACCGCCGCCTAGTAACCCTCCAGCGCCCTTCTCCCCCTCCACCGCTGCCGATGGTCGGCGCCGGGCAAAGCCCGTGCGTGCGATGGCGGCGGCGGAGGGTCTCTCCTCCCTCTCCCGGATCCGCGGCGGCGCGGGTGTCCTGATCCACGGGATGTGGCCCTCCGGACGCTGTGGCGGATCCCAGAGGTGACAGGCTCGCAGCGGTGTACGGGCACCCAGATCCATGGGCGTCAGTTTCCCGGCAGTGTGCGGGCTCCCGGCGGTAGCGGGATCAGTCGACGGCGGGCTTGGGCGACGGCATCAGCCGCGCGGCGCCGGATCTTGTCGTTCATGGCGGATCTCGCCACTCCGGCCATTGTGGAGGACTCTGGACCTGGGGCGGCGGCCCCGTTAGGCATGGCGACGACGCCCTCAGCTGGCGACGTTCACGGGGGGTGGATGGACGGACCGCATGGGCGGTGAGTTGCCGGTGGATCTCCTCTGCACTGCAGGCTCTCTCCCGCTGCACTTGGTGGCTTACGATCGCGATCATCAGCCTCGGTGCGTTCGCGGGGGCTGGTAGAGGTGACATCGGACCGGAGGAAACTCCGGATGACTCGTTCATCCCGACGGTGGCAATGACCAGGGTCGCCGTTCTCCTCCTTACAGGTGTTGGAAATATGCCCTAGAGGCAATAATAAAATGGTTATTATTATATTTCCTTGTTCATGATAATTGTCTATTGTTCATGCTATAATTGTATTAACTGGAAACTGTAATACATGTGTGAATACATAGACCACAACATGTCCCTAGTGAGCCTCTAGTTGACTAGCTCGTTGATCAATAGATGGTTATGGTTTCCTGACCATGGACATAGGATGTCATTGATAATGAGATCACATCATTAGGAGAATGATGTGATGGACAAGACCGAATCCTAAGCATAGCACAAGATCGTATAGTTCGTTTGCTAAGAGCTTTTCTAATGTCAAGTATCATTTCTTTAGACCATGAGATTGTGAAACTCCCGGATACCGTAGGAACGCTTTGGGTGTACCAAACGTCACAACGTAACTGGATGGCTATAAAGGTGCACTACAGGTATCTCCGAAAGTGTCTGTTGGGTTGGCACGAATCGAGACTGGGATTTGTTACTCCGTATGACGGAGAGGTATCTCTGGGCCCACTCGGTAATGCATCATCATAATGAGCTCAATGTGACTAAGTAGTTAATCACGGGGTCATGCATTACGGAACGAGTAAAGTGACTTGCCGGTAACAAGATTGAACGAGGTATTGGGATACCGATGATCGAATCTCGGGCAAATAACATACTGATTGACAAAGGGAATTGTATACGGGATTGCTTGAATCCTTGACATCGTGGTTCATCCGATGAGATCATCGTGGAACATGTGGGAGTCAACATGGGTATCCAGATCCCGCTGTTGGTTATTGGCCGGAGAACTATCTCGGTCATGTCTGCATGGTTCCCGAACCCGTAGGGTCTACACACTTAAGGTTCGATGACGCTAGAGTTGTTATGGGAAATAGTATGTGGTTACCGAAGGTTGTTTGGAGTCCCGGATGAGATCCCGGATGTGACGAGGAACTCCGGAATGGTCCGGAGGTGAAGATCGATATATTAGACGAAGGGTATTGGAGTCCGGAATTGTTCTGCGAGTACCGGGTGACGACCAGCATGACCGAAAGATGTTTCGGAGGCCCCGACAAGCGTTGGGGGGCCTTATGGGCCAAGGGGAGGGGGCACACCAGCTGTCGGTGTCAAAACCGGCGGATCTCGGGTAGGGGGTCCCGAACTGTGCGTCTAAGACTAATGGTAACAGGAGGCTGGGGACACAATGTTTACCCAGGTTCGGGCCCTCCCGATGGAGGTAAAACCCTACTTCCTTCTTGATTGATCTTGATGATATGAGTATTACAAGAGTTGATCTACCACGAGATCAGAGAGGCTAAACCCTAGAAGCTAGCCTATGGTATGATTGTTGTTGTGTCCTACGGACTAAACCCTCCGGTTTATATAGACACCGGAGAGGGCTAGGGTTACACAGAGTCGGTTTACAGAGGAGGAGATCTACATCTGAATCGCCGAGCTTGCCTTCCACGCCAAGGAGAGTCCCATCCGGACACGGGACGAAGTCTTCTGTCTTGTATCTTCATAGTCTAACAGTCCGGCCAAAGTATATAGTCCGGCTGTCCGGATACCCCCTTATCGAGGACTCCCTCAGTAGCCCCTGAACTAGGCTTCAATGACGATGAGTCCGACGCGTAGATTGTCTTCGGCATTGCGAGGCGGGTTCCACCTCCGAATACTCCAAAATTAATTCCGAATACAAGGACCGTGTCCGGCTCTGTAAGATAAATTCCATATACCACCGTAGAGAGAATAATAATCCATGAATCCAATCTGCTGACAATTCTTCAAAAAGTGACATCACGCCGCAGTCCGGACTTTATTCGAACCGTTTTTTACAACTTGCTACCGCTCACACCACGAGGCAGTTTCCTTGGCACGTCCTGTCAGGGCAGAGATCGTGTCCCCCTTACTACGGGATTCTCATCAATACGGGTATGGGTATCCAACCGTGCCTGTTGGCATGACCCCGTGTTTTTAGGCAAGTCCTGAACGACCACGTTCGGGGACGCTTGATATTATTCCCCCCCTTTATAAAGGAGCTGAGGCCTACCCTTCTATCTCCACGCTCGCACATCTCGCACCCTGAGTTCCAACACCCAAAGCTCGAGCCTAAGCACCCCGGATCTTCGATTATGTCCGGA